TCCCTTAGACCAGGAGTCCTGAGAGTGGGACTCCCACCCCCTCCTCCTGCACCTCCATTCACAGAGCCCCCGGCCCAAGGCTCTGCCCCAAGCAGGACCTCAGACCATGTCCACGCCCCCTCTTCTCACTCCCTCCTGGCACTCGTTCAGGCCTGGCCCGTACCAGGCAGGCTACCCCCTCCCCTGTCTTGTCCATGAATCCCACCTCTGTTGGGTACCACAGACCCCCCTTTCTCCTCCCCAAACAAATGGGGTCTTGAGTGAGACACTGGGATAACCACACACAAGGCTAGATCTATTCTCGGGGTAAGTGAGGCTGCCAGCACTCGGTGGGGGGGAGTTGGGTTGGTGGGAGTGGTCTGCCCATCCAAACCCCTTGAGGTCTAGCCTCTGAAATCAGGGCCACTCTAAGCTCCCATCCTGGAGGGCTGAGACCAACAGCCCCCCCCAGGGAACCCCAGAGCAGACCCACCCCAGAGACTTTCATCACTCTCTCCCCCCCTCCAACACAGAGGAGACAGAAGCCTCCGAACCTAGGTTCAAATCCCTGCTCTTGCCCTGTGGAAGACTTCCCCAAGCCTGAGTCTGGGCATTTGGAAAATGGGTATAACAAACCTGCTCGGCAGGTGCTGCTGCGATTGTGAAAGGGGATACATACAGGAATGGCCCTGGCGCATAGTAGGTGCTCAATTAAAACCTTCTCTCTCCTCTCTGATCTTCTCTCTCTTTTTCTAAGGGCAGTAGGGGTGGAGTGGGACTAGAGAGACCAGGCTGCTAGGGCAGAAAATGGCCTGTCCCAGGCACAGAAAAAGTCCCCTTTTCAGAACTCAAAACCTCAAACCCCTCAGGGCTGACAGTGGGGCCTCTGGGGACTGGGGTGATTCAGCAGATGCTGTTTTCCCACCCTGAGGAGGGGACCATGGAGGTAAGTCTGCAAACCAAAGCTCAAAGCCCACTGCCTCCCAGAAGCCAGCTGAGATCAGCCAAGATAGTATCCCCATTTTATGGACAAGTAAACTGAGACACAGAGCGATTAATTTGCCTAAGGCCACACAGCTAGCGGGCAGCTGAACTGATCTCTTTTGACAATTCTGACTGCTACCAAAATCTTTTCCTTCCAGCAGGAGCCTTCCCTACTTAAAGGCCTTTCTGTGATTCTGCCTCTGTGTTCGGAGTAAAGTCTAAACTCTATAGCCTAAAATGCAAAGCTCCCCACAGCAAGGAGGTGTGGTATGGCAGGAAAAGGACTTGATCCAGAATCAGCCCAATCTGGGGTCAAGTGCCAGGTCTGCTACCTACTTCCGGTGTGTGTCCATGGGCAACTACCAACCTTCCCTAGAGCCACTTTCCTGTGTAAAATGGGGCTGATGAGATGACCCTCCAGGTAGCCGCAGGCTACCCATCCATGCTGTCATCATGTATTTATTGAACATCTACTATGTTCCAGGCCCCATTCAAGGCCCTAAGGACAGAGCAGGGAACAAGACAGAAAAAGCTCCTACCTTCATGGAGCTGATACTCTATGACAGTAGGAGGGCAGATAATAAGTGCTCAGTAGCTCAGTCACATCAGACTCTACGACCCTTTGGACTGCCAGGCTTCTCTATCCATGGGATTTTTCAAGCAAGAATACTGCCTTCCTTCAGGGGTTCTTCCAGACCCAGGGATTGAACTCACATCTCCTGCGTCTCCTGCACTGCAGGAGGATTCTTTTACTGCTGAGCCATTGGAGAAGCCCCATGGATAATAAACAAATAAACAAAATAGCATAGGCTGCATTTGGGGTTATAAGGAAACAGAGAAAGAACCAGAACAATGAACAGAGTGGTAGGGGGTGTGGGGAGCTCCCTGAGGAGTCGACAATGAGCCAGAACAGGAGACGGCCATACCACAAGCCTGAGGCGCAGCAGTGGGCACAGAAGGGACAGTCACTCCTGTAGAAGGAACAGCAAGTGCAAAGGCCAGGGAATTCAATGAGACCTGGAGCATGTGGGAAAATGCCTGGCACGTAGCAGAACATTGGTAGAGAGCAGGTGTCAGTATTACTGCTATGAACCCCTTAAGCTTCTTGAACCTTGCTTTCTTTCTGTTTCTGGAAAATGAGATGCCGTGTGGATTCAAGGGACTCCTAGATCTCTTCCACATATCTGAACTCATTTAACAGAACCCTTGTTCCATTATTATTCCTCCCATCTTGCAGGTGGGGAAACTGAGGCTCCCGAGATCCCACAGCCCATAAAGGGCAACATTAGGACATGAACCTGGGTCTTTTAATCCTCAGCTCTTGCCCCTGCCAGTCTTCTGTGGTCTCACTGCACTTAGAGCACTTTGCTCCTCCTCCACCTCATCCGAAGACAGCTCTGACTGTTACAAAGTCTCTCGTGACTAACAGAGGTCTGTACTTGGTTGGGCCCACTTCTGTCATTTGGGGCCACCCAAGACCACTCCCTCCCCTCTTACCCAACTCAGTCTGAAAGGTGAAGAAGGCTGACAGGTTCTAGAAGGAGCAGCTGCCACTCCAGGAAACACCTCCCTGTAGGTTTTAACTTCATTCCCCTGCCTCACATTGTCAAGGTGATGTAGCGACGATTCTCACTATGCCCATTACACAGATGAGGAAACTGAGGTCCAGAAAGGCAGAGAAAAGTTGCCAGGCCCACCCACCGAGACAGTGGCAGAGGCAGGATCTGAACTCAGATCTCTGGCACTGGAAAGACATCCTGCTGGTCACTTCCCAGACCCCTAAGATGTCCCTCTTTGTATATCCTTTTTGGTCCCTTGCCTGGCTTGTCCTCTGGTGGTGCCAAGAGGTTAACAGGACAGCCTTCCCCTGATACTTCCAGGGTACCACCAGCCAGGGGTGACTGAGCTGGCTCAGAACCCTGGGCCCTGGGGAGGAAGCCAAGGGGCTGTGGTACCCCAGCACAGCTAGGGGTACAAGGCCCACGAGACTAAAGGGCACGTCCAGGCCCCTGGAGCGAGCAGGCAGGGGCACCTCACAGGGAGCACCAGACAGGGAGTCAGCCTGGAGCACCAGACAGGGAGTCAGCTTCCACCCTGACTTGACAACCAGGCCCCACCTCCTGCTTCCTTGATGTCAGGTCAGCACCTCCGCTGCCCAGTGAGTATAGAGAAGGACAAAATGAGGCAGATCTCTGGTGAGAAGTCACCCTGTCCACCCCAGGCAAGTAAGAAAAACATTTTAAAGTGATTTTTTAAAGGAATTACGATAATGGTGGTAGCTACTACTTTCTGAGAGTCTGCTGCATGCCAGGAACCAGGGCATCCCAGAAGTTATCTCAGGTGACAGCAACCCTGAGAGGCAGAAGCATCATCTCCATCTTACAGAAGGGGAAACTGAGGCACAGACTCAAACAGCTGTAAGCAACAGAGTCAGGATTTAAACTCTGTGCTCTTCCGTGTTGCCTCTTAGTGACATTAAAATGGAATGTGTGCTTCTGGAGAATATCTGGGGACTGAGGGAAGAGAGACAACTCTGAATGGGGTGGGGAGGCTCTGGAGGAAGGAGTTAGGCCTGAAAAGTTGGACCTTTGGAGAGGCAGGCAGCCAGGATCAAACCCCAGTTTCAGGGCATCTGTGCTGTGTGACCTTGGGCGAGTCTCTTCCCCTCTCTGATACCTCAAAGGCAAGCATCAGTGCTGGGCTTCCCAGAGCTCAGCAAACACGAAGGATAGGAATAAAGTCATCTGGGGACAAGGAGGGAGGACGTGTCCAGATGAAGGATGAGTGAGGCCCTGAAGACAGAGAGGGCTCAAGGAGCAGAGGCAGGAGCTCTTGGCCACGAAGTGCACAGGAGGCCTGGGCAAGAGGAGGCCATGGGAGAAGGGATGCCAGGGGTGTAGCAGGGGCCCCAGTCTGGTCTGGACAGGGCAGGGTGAGCAACGGGAGCAGAGAGCACAGCTCAGACTCACCCAGTGTGCCTCACTGCCCCCACCAAAGAACCCTCCTTCAGCCTGTGCCAGCAACACCAAGACCAAAGCAGCAGCCCCTCCCCCATCGTTCCCTCCTCTGATCCTCCATGGAGCACGCACCACACTTACTCCCTCCCTCCACAAGCCCCCTCCAGAGCACCCAACAGCAGCCCTCCCCTGGGGAACCCCAACACCTTGCCCAGCCACAGCCCCTCCACATGGGGACCACCGCATCTTAGAGACAACATCTCCCTCTCCTTAGCAACCACCAACACCAAGCCCAGACAGCCAGCCTCCTCCCTCTGTCTCCTCTCTCCATGGAGACCACAATGCCACAGAGGCAGCTCCCTTGCCACGGCAACCACCGTCACTCAGCGCCCCGCCTGGACAACAACTCCCTCCACGTGGCCACCACCAGCACAGCCACGGTGACAGTGACAGCCTTGGCCTCTCCTCTCCAGGGCCGCCACCAGCCCCAGCTGGGACAGCTCCTGCCGGCTGCCCTGCCTGTGGCCTCCTAGTGTCAGACTGCTCTCTTGCCTCCTTCCCAAGTTCAATGACACTGGATGCGGCCTAGTTCTGATGCTGCCGGTGCTTCTCTGCTCCCAGCTCACTCCCAGCCCCTCAGTCCGCCCCACATGGAAAGGCCCCCACCTGAGGCAGAAGAGGCCATGCCCTCCCAGGCCATCCCCTGGAAACCAGTCCTTCCACCCCCAGCTGGGCCACAGATGCCCCCAGGGCTCTGGGGCTCAGGCAGGCCCAGCTCAGGCTCTCAGCTGGGCTACAGGGCAGGAGTGGGGTCTCTGAGCCAGCAGGGGCTTCCTCCCCACCCCTCCCCAGTGGACTGCCCCAGACCCTCAAAGGCCTGCGTTCTGCCAGCTGCCTCGCAGGCCCTGTGGAAGGGAAGCTGGGGAGGAGCAGAGTTGGGGGTGCCTGCAGCTGGGGGCAGGGGCAAGGGAATAGGAGGCAGAGGCCAGGCTACATCACGGGTTTTCAAGGCCAGGTCATGTGAGCCGTGATCACACACAGCCACACACTCACACACCGTGAGAAGGACCCTGTCCTTACCAGATCTCTGCAGACGGAAGGAGCCCCTCTGGCCAGCGAAGCTCTGTCCCTGGCCTGGTCTCAGGCAGGTCCCCACGGTAACCACAGCGGCAGAGGCAGCAGTGGGGTCTCAGGTGCAGCGGCAGCTCCTCACCCAAGTCCTCTCCTGTGAGGAGGAGGAGGAGGAGGCAAGGGGAGAAAGGGGAGGGAGGGAGAGGAGAGGAGGGGGGGACAGCAGGAGGGGGGGAGGAGGGAAAAATGCTGAAGTCTTGAAGGGTACACTCACTTCTTTCTTAGGTTTCCCATGGCAACCGAATATACCACAAATGAATATCAGTGTGAGAAGAGGGAGGGAAGGAGTGGAAGGAGATGGAGGCAGAGATGGAGAGAGATGGAGGCAGAGAGATGGGGCGATGAGAGCAGAGAGATGGAGACAGAAAGATGACAGGGCAGAGACAGGGAGGGGAAGGGGCTCGAGACCCAGACGGAGGGATGGGAACTCCCCACCCTACCCCACAAGGTGCAGGGGTGAGAGGAGGGGAGGGGCGGGGGCCACAAGGCTTTTTGCAATCTCTCCGTGGCCCCTGGGCAGGAGGTGCAAACAACAGATGGAGAGATTTTCTGGGAGCTGAGGGCCCCCATTCCCACCCACCTCATCCCTTCCCATGTCCTTCACTCCTGGCTGGGCCCACAGCCTGGAGGGTCCTCCCAAGTCATGGTCCCAGCTCCACACCTCACTTCCCATTACAGACACACACCCAAGTGGGGATGGCCACACGCACCCTGCACTGACCTGATGGCCGATACCCACGCACACCCCTCCAACCACGCCACCCTCTTCTTAGTCACCCCAACACCGACTGGGCCTGCTCCCTTCTACAGCTGGGCCTCTTTCTCTCTACTGCAGGGAAGAAGCACCCCTCCCCTACCCCCAGCACATCTCTTGTTCAGAACTTTGCAAGGACCGGCACCCACCCGTGGTCCCCACCTGTGTTCTGCCGGCTGTAGTGTCTCTGCCCCACTGCTCACACACCCTTAGAGCAGCGTACCTGCCTGACCTCCACCTGCAGAGACTCACAAACCCCCTGGCAGACATGCCGAATCTGCCCTCCATCTGCGCGCACACGTGCACATGCATACAACTCATCCCGTCCCGCGGAGGCCCCTCTCTGCCTGGCCCCACACCTCATCAGCCCAGATGGTACTCCCGGCCCTCCCCCGCAGGCAGGGGCTCACACCTCGGCCCCCTCGACACGGCCATTCACAAACATATTGTAGACCTACCGCGTGCTGACAGCCAGCGGCAGCAATGAAACAGAAACACACACTCGGCCACCCCACCCCGCCCCATCCACCATCCCCGCGATGCCTCAAATCCACCAGCCCCAGCAGGAGAGGATAAGGAAGCAGCCAGCTAGCTCCAGCTCCAGGTCCGGAGGGACACTCTCCCCCTAGCCACCGGGCTCACACTTGCCCCTGCACCCAGTGGCCAACAGGGATGGGACACACCCTGTAGGGATGGGCTACACACTACAACCTCACACACACACCAGCACCCATGGGTCACACCCAGACAGCAACCAACCCCCCAGAATTTCACTCTCCCGCAGACACACGTGTACACACAGACCCTGAGGTACTGGACCCAGCTGCCTACAGAATCCAGACACGGGGGCGTCTGCCCTAACTTGGCGACTGGCACATGTGCCAACACACCTGAGTCCCTGCACAGACACAGGTCAACACACCCACAGAAACACACCGGCCCCTGCTCACTGCGGACCATACCCCATACACACCCAAACGAACAAGCCTACAGGGGCCCCTGTAGGCACACACTGGCCAACATATACGGGCATCCCCAAGGTGGCTCACACTGGGGGGCCACTCTGCACAAGCATGGCCACGCCTGCATCCCCGCCCATCTCTCCCAGGGCAGTTCACGGAGGCGCACCCCATCCGGCCCACACCCACCTGACCCACACACCCCATAGAAAACACGGGGCCTCGGCGGGTCCTCCTCGGCCCCCTTTCCGTGAATGCGGGCCGGTTTACGATCGCGCGCACCGCGCCGAGCCCAGAGGCTGTGAAATTGGCTTCGAGCGCCGGGAGATGCGGCTGCAAATTCTAAGCACAGGAAAGTAAGGCGGAAACCCAGCCAACCCGGCTGGGCCGGCGGCGCGGGGCTGGGGCTCCGCAGAGCGGCGGGCGGCCGGGATGGGACCCCGCGGGGTCCCTGCTGCCGCACTGGCGGCGGGGGGTCGGAGGCCGTGTGGGCTTTCCCCTCCCCGCCGTCCTCCTCCCCCGCTCCGTCCTCCTCCCCCGCCCCTCCGGCTGCTCCGGCTCCAGCCCCGCCGCCGCGCACGTGCCCAGTAGGGGGCCTGGGTACACCGCGTGGGCCAGCCTGGGGACTCGCCCCCTGGGCGGAGACACCCCGCCTCCCGCCAGACCCCGGACCTGCCTCGGCCAGAGTGCCCACCGGATGAACCGCCTCGGGCCGCCGCTACGCGACTCTGCGTCGCCGCCTCCTCCGGGACGCCTTCCTGGCTCTCCGCCCTCCTCCTCCCGGCAGCTCCGCTCCGCAATCCACCCCCGCCTCTGGCCTCTGCTCACAGGCACAGCCGCAGGCTCAGCTCCACCCGCGTCCTCGCACCAAAGGCGGAGAGACGGGAGGGCATCGCTCCTTCCAAGATGCTGGAGCAGGCCCGCTCCAGCCTTACTTCCTCCCCACCCCACCGCACTTCAGGCCTTTACCAGCAGTGAGGCCGTGAACACTGCCTCCATCTCTCTGTGCAACAGCGAGGATGCAGAGGGTCGTTCTGAGGGTTTGACGAAGGACTCCTTGAGCAGGCTTACAACAGCAGTCGGTGAACACGAAGGTTATTAGTCAGTGTTAGTCAGTATGGGCCTGGATCTTAATGTTGTATCACCCAAGGGAGGGCGCCTAGCTCCTCTGTGTTCAGGCCCACTTTGTAAATCGGATATGGCTTTGATGCCTACCAGGTTGCGTTGGAGAGTCCGGAAGATCCCCTGGAATAGGCAGCAGCCTCCTCAGCTGCCATCCACTCTGCAAACAGGGTGAATTCATCTTCTGGAAATGCACTAAAAATGCAAGTTCCTGGGCTCCCCATCGACCCTACTCTCTGCCAGCAGGGCCTGAGGATCTGCATCTAAATAAGTACCCACAGACTCTGATCCTCTCTGACAGAAAGGATAATGCTGGATTTCTTAGCTCTGATTTTAGGGTTATTTAGGTTGTTGTGTGGTTGATCCCCAAACTTCATGTCCAGACTCATTGTCCCAAATTCCACTCCGGGCTTTCCTACCTCCAGACCTCAGCTCACATGGTCTCCACCTGGCATGCCCCCACCCTAGAGGCCAGCTGGACCTCTTCCACAATCCTCTAGCCAAAATTAAACAAGATAATAGACAGTGTTTTGCCCTGAGCCTGGCTCGTAGCGGGCGTGCCATCCTGGGGACTCTGCAGTGCCCAAAGCGGAAGCCATCCCCTCTCTGGCTCTGCTTCCAAGGCTGGCTCAGCACCAGTCCCTGGTCTGCCAGGTCACAGACTAACAGGGACCGCCCATCAAGCAAGCCCTACTGTGTGCAGGCCCCATGCCAGGCGCCTGGCAGACACTCCCAGTGTCTCGTGTCTCCTCAGAACAGGAACTCATCTCTGGGGGTTCCTGTCTGAGTCCCAGGCACAGCAGTTATTCCTGAGGGAGACATCCTTGTAATAGTGTGTATGTGTGTGCGTGTGAACTGAATACAAAATACATCAGCCCATTCTCAGGAGCTGGTAGATGAAAGAAAGTTGTTCAACAAGTACCTTTTGAGGGCATGCTAGTCTCTGCCTGTTTGGAGCTGACACTGTGAGAGAGGCAGACAGGAGACCTCCTCCCCACCCGCCCCAGGTAATGACAAGGGCAGGGAAGGGAGGATGGCAGGCAGGCTGACCCCACAGCCTGTGTCTCCTCCCAGATCCAAGGAGAACTGTAGGGGAAGAGAGGCAATAGAGACAGGCCAAGGAGGGAAACTGAGTCAGCCTTGAGGCTGGGCCCTTGGGAATGGCTCCCTGCTTGCCCAAGAGAGGTGGTGACCAGTGTACATACACACACACAGACACAACCACAAAAACATGCCCTGCTCCCCTCCCAGCCCCTCTATACACTCCAGCTGGGAGGTATGTTGCTCCCAAGTTCTTCTCATGCTTCCTCGGGCTCCCCTAGCCTGGCTCTAGAAAACAATTTCTATGCATTTCAGGGAATGAAACTACAGGCTGAAAAGAGAGAAGGCTGGACACACACACACACACACACACACACACACACACACACACACACACATCCCAAGCCCCATTCCAGGGAACCAGGAATGAATAAAGGAGACAGATGGGAAGGGGGAGGGAAATCATCTAATTGACACCTACTATGTGCCAGACACAATGCTACATGCTTGTCATTCCCTTATGTAACCAACCCGAGTTAGGAATTCAGTACCACTACCCCCCCTGTACATTGAGAGACAGAACCTTCTGGAAGTGAATTCTCTTTCCCGGGACACACATCAAGGAGACAAAGAGGCAGAAAGGGGACCCTGAGCTCCCACTCTTCCACAAGTCAGACAGGGAGAGGGAGGAGGAGTGGACCAGGGGGCCCCGCTGAGGCTTCGACAGCCTCAGGCCTGAGGAAGATGGTGATCCTAGAGCAGCATCCCCTCCATTACCCAGGGGAGCCCCTAGGGAGCACCCACTGTGCACCCGGCACTGTGCTAGGCACTGTGGGTGAATCTGGGAGCAAGGACCTGCCTTCCAGAATGTCACAGGTCAATACAGAGGGAGGGGGCGCAGGGGCTGAGACCCAGGAGCCTTACTGCGCTTCTGTCCCTGCAGCCACACCCACTGATTCCCTACAGCAGGGTCACTGTCCCAATTTCCAGACAAGCAAAGTGAGTCCCTGAGGGGTCCCTCAGAGAGAGGGGAACCCCGAGATGCCCCGGGTCCCCTAGCAAAAGGCTTCATCAGTTAATGGTTAACAATGCAAAGAGTACACTCATGGGTCTTCCAGTCATGGTTCTGCTGCTGTGTGGCCCAGAGCTGGTCAGTAACCTGTCTGTTTCTTGTCTGGGAAATGAGAAATAATAACAGCTGTACTGCAGAAGGCTTAGTGGGATTAAACAACGAGTACGCCTATAAAGAGCTTCCCACCAGGGCTGGCTCTCAGTACAGGCTCGATGAATATCAGCTAATATCATTATTATTATCACTATAATTATTGCTGTCAGCAGTACCATACAGCCAGCGCCCTTCCCCTGGCACCCCAGGTGTAAGCTTGCTCAGGTGGCTCCCCAGTCCTCGGGGGCTCTCTAGAGCCTCCCTGGGGGCTGTCTGCAGAGCTGGGGGTGGTGGGAAGGAGGGGATTCTGTTATTGCAACTCTCCCAGACACCATCCCCAGTGCTAGTGACAGCGCCTCTGCCCCAGGTGCTCATTGAGCCAGGAGAAGGTAAATTTAATAGGGGATTGGGCTGGGACAGCAGGAGGCAGAGGACTGAGTTAACCTGGACTATTAAAGCTTTCCCCAAAGAGGCCTGACTTGTTAAGGAGACTTGGGGTTCAAGGCAATCTGCTTCCTGGCTGTCGGGTCTGCACAGAGTGCTGTCACAGCAGTTTTGGAGCGGGGGACATGGGGGGGGGTGGCAGGATGGAGGGCCCGACTTGGGGGCACTGGAGCTGAAGTGGTGAGAGAAGCTATGATGGGTACCATCCCGACTGCCCGAGGAGGTGCCACTCTCTCCTGCTCAGCAGTAAGTCTGGGAGGCAAGCAGCCGCCACCTCGGAGACAGACGGGGAGGCTGATCCCTGCGTCACACACGGCCAGGACACAGCAGAGCTGTCCCTGGAACGAGGACTGCATCCACAGCAGGCATCCCGCCAGACCTCAAGGGACAGGGAACCAGCCTGGGGAGCAGGCTCAGAGCCCCCGATGAGCACCCCAGGCCGACCCCACTACAGGAGGCTTGGCGCTGGACGCAGCCGCTCCGATCAGTCGGGCCACCTCGGAATCTCCTGGGGCGCCAGAACAAGCAGGCGCTGGACTCGAGTCAGGAGGCCTCTACCTCCGCCACTGAGCTCCCGGCCTTGGGCTCCTCACCCTGACACTTCCCACTCCTCGCCCCACTGCAGAGAGCTCCCTGTCCCTCTGTTAAATGCAGGTGCCCTGCCCATCAAATGGGGGTCTCCCCACATCCACCAGCAGGGGAGTTCTCACTAAGGAACGAAACAATAGCTTACTTTACCCTCTGGACCTCAGTTTGCTCATCTGTCAAATGGCCACACAATAGCCGGCCTGCCAGCCTCACAGGACTGCTATGAGGATCCAAGGAGAGAAAAGAAAGCCCTTGACAAATTTCGACTTAAAGCAAAACAGGGGAACAGCTGCTCTAGGTGGGGCAGGGGGTGGGGGACAGAAGGCCAAGGGATGGGGCTCACTTCTACCATGTGCTGGACATCTAGCCCCCCGGAAGCTCACTGTCTCCTGTAATTCCCCCCTCAAGTCCCTAACCATCTCCCAGCTGACAGATGAGAACTGGAGGCCCAGAAAGATGATGGAAATGTCTATATCACAAAACACAGACCGGCAACATGGAATGAGAACCAAAGGTCTCTGGCTTCCTCGCTGTGACTGTTTTCTGTTTGTCACCTGCACTTACACGCGCGCACACACACACACACACACACATGTTCACCCACCAGAACACACTCACCTGAAGGTCTGTGCCGCCTGACTGGGATGGGGTGGAGAGCAGGGACTGGTGGGGTGCCAGGCAGAGGGGAGAGTGGGGACATGGGTAGGGAGAGGTAGCAGAGATGTGCCATTGGTGGGGCAGGCCTTGTGGAAACGGGTCCCACATCCACTCAGGAAATGGGGCTTCTTGGGAAGGGCTGCTCACTCCAAAGCTCCACCCCCTCCCCTTCTCACCTCTCAAAACACAGGGAGGTGACCCCGCTGAACCACATACCCTCACGGTGACACCTCCCTCACCTGCCCACTGACATCATCCTGGTCCTTGGGGGTGACCTCTCACACCGCTGTCCTAGTGACGTCACTGGCAACCTGGAGCTGACGTCACACCCAGAGATCCTCACTGACGTCACACAAACACACCCCCCTGAGACCCCCTTCAGTTTCTCTGCTTCCTTCCTGCCCTGGGTTCGATGGCCCAGAGTTCCCACTGGTGTACACAGCTCACTCAGGATGGGCATTTACAGACAGCACCTGTGTGTGTGTGTGTGTGTGTGTGTGCGTGCATGCAGGCACAGACCTTTCTCTCCCCAGACACATGTTTACACATATATGTGGACCCACATGCCCTGCTGATGGCCTAGACATGACACGTCCCACAGGTGCCCACAGGCTCAGAGAACAGGTGTGTAAGCCAAGCACACACACATAGACACATGCAAATACTCTCCCCCCAGGCTGCTCCCCAGATGAAAATGTCCCTCCGTAACTAAATCTGGTAGCCTGGGGCAGGCAGCTTCCACCACATCCCTCCAGGTGCTGCCAGCACCCCCTCCTCCCCCCTTCTCTCCTCCGACAGCCTGGCCTGCTGACAGCAACAGCCGCAGCCCAGACACACACACACACACACACACACACACACACTCTCCCGTCCAACACCTGTGTCTCGGCAAGGGGATCCAAGTGCCCTCCAAAGGCAGGCACTGGGGTGGGAGGGGTCCGGGTGGAAGGGACATAGCAGGGAGCCCAGAGCTGCAGAAAGTGCCTTCAAGTACCACGTACCACGTTTCTCCAGAGCTGAACCCAGCGAGGGTCAGCACCACCATCCCAGTCATCTCCCTCCTTGGGCACGCCTGACACACCACAATCTGGCTGCCTCCGTCCTGGACACAAGCTCCCCCAGCTCACACGTAGACAAACACACAGCCCTCTCCCCTCCAAATATTCTGCTGGACTACAGACAGAGAGAGAGAGAGAGAGAGAGAGAAAGAGAGAGAGTGTGTGTGTGTGTGTGTGTGTGTGTGTACAGACAGAGCGGAGTCCACCTCTGCACACAGCCTTGTGTGCGCACACAGAACACACATCCTTCCCCACGTGCACACATCATCTTACCAACCAACACACCCACCCCCTGCCCCCCTCTTCTGCCAGTTGTTGGAGCACACACACACACACACACACACACACCAGCATTGGCCCTGGCCCTGCCAGAGCTGCAGTCTGCCGATTTCTGCTGCCTCGCTGCTTGCCCCACACCAGCGCCACCAGAGGAAGGGGCAAAGCCTTTGCAAAGGTCCCCACCCCCTGAGGGCCCCCACTCCCCAAAGCTGGTCCTCTTACCAAACCATCGCCCTCCTGCGGGGAAGGGGAGTAAAGCCCCACCCTAGCTCCCACCCCCCCATCTCAGCTGTCATCCCGCACCAATCAACTCCCCCTTACCAGCTAGAAGATGAATTCCTTGACCCCCGCACCACTCCCTGAAAGAGGGGTGCGAGGGCCCCCGAATCGCAAAGATGGGGGCAGAGAGGCTCGCTGTAGTGCTGGCTGGCACGACCGTCCACCATCAAACCTCTGCACCAGCCCCGAAACTGCTCACCTCACCGACCGTCCTCCTTGTCCTCCCACCCCGCCTCCGTCCACCACCCCCAGCCCCGCACAGGGTGGTCCTCCCCGGAGGCGGGGGGCGTCTCACGGGGATCCCCCGACCCAGGAGGCGCCGGGGGTGGCTTTCCCCGTCTCATCCTCCCCCGGCTGGGTCCTCCTCCAAGCCCCACCCCCATGGCGGAGCGGGTGTCCTCTGGCCCCAGCGCCCACTCCCACCGTCTGGGCCGGCCGCGGGCGCTCGGATCCGAAGGAATTCACTCACCTCCGGCCCCTGCCGGGCTCCGGGCCGAGCACCGCCTCCGATCGCGCCGGCTGCGGGGCCTGCGCAGGAGTGTGAGGGCGAGTGCGAGTGCGCTCGGTGCCCGGCGGGCTCGGTGTGTGGTGTGTGTCTGTGGCGCGGCCGGTGTGTCTGTGAGTCCGCAGGCCTCGCCGCAGCGAGACCCCTCCCGCCCCCTCTCCAGGCTCGATGCCGCCGCGGACACACGCACGCTCACAGACACACGCCCGCCGGGCGGGGGCCGCGCCGGGCTCCGCGGCTGCCAGCCGCGGCCCCGCAGACGGCTAAGTCCTGAGCACGCCTTGGCCCCCGGCCCCGCTGACCCTGCGGGGACCCGGTCCCACCACCGCCCCCGGCGCATTCAACAGCTGGAGGCAAACTTACGGCGGGGCGAGCCTCCCTAGGTGCGCGGCGCCCCCCAGCGCCCTCCCGAAGACGCCTGCAGCCCCTGGACTCCCCCCTCCCCAGCAGTGGAGCCCCCTCACACCCCATTCCCGATCGTCGGTCCTGTGCTCAATCCCTGGCAACTGGAGGAGTGTGGCTGCTGCGTCCCCATTTTACAGGCAAGACAACTGAGGCTTGAGGAGCGCAGGGAATCCCCCAAGGTCAGCAGCCAGCTTGGTATTAGGGACAGTACTACGAGGCTCCAGGTCTCTCTGTCCTTGGGCCAGGACTCTGGGCGGCGCTCACTACCTTTCCCCAGCCCTCGAGAAGTATGGCCAGGGGTGCACTGGGCTCTGCCGCAGCCCAGAGATGCTTCCTACGGCCTTTGAGCCGTAGCCTCTCCCTAGCCACGGTCCCCCACGTAAACACAGAGGGAGGAGATGCAGGAAGAAGCTCTGGCATGCGGGGCCTATAATCCCCACCCTAAACACACACACACACACACACACACACACACACTTGGGCACACAAGCACCCAGTGAGAAAACTTGGCTTATGTCCCTCCCGTGCAGAAAGAAACAGGCCCCTCCTCAGCCCCTGGGGCCTGCAAACCTACTGGCTGAAGCCCTGCTCGAGACAGGCCTTATGCGTCTCAATCACTTTTATGGGGCCGCATGCGCCAATGCCAGTCCTCAAGTCGTGCACAGCAAAATGGGCAGCAGGAACTCCCAGAAGAAGCATCTCATCCAGGCCAGGAATGGAAGAGACTCTCTGGAAAAAGCCATTGCCTGAGCTGAATCAACGGATGAGTAGGAGTTGGTCAGCTGAAGAAGGTGGGGGAGGATGTCCCAGACTGCGGGAACATCATATGCAAAGGCACAGGGGCATGAGATCACCTGTTGTGTGTGAGGAACTCCTCGGAGTTTAGGTGTTACTAGAGCATAAAGAATCTGTTCAGAAATTCCTCCATTCTGTCAACTGAGAACCGAAAAGCAGGTCCAGGATGAGGCAAGGAGGGCAGACAAGCTCTGAGAATTAGGCCACCGAGGTCACGGTTTCTCCAAGTAGGAGCAAACTGTTGGGCGTCCCACTTCTGCCCTCCACAACTGCACTCCAAGCTGGCTGGCACACTCCTACCCACCCTTCAAGGCCCCTTGCTGCAGACCCAAAGAAGCCATTACGTTGTCTCTGCCCTTTAAACTGAGCTCTCCTAGAGGTCAGGGACCACATGGGCCATATGGCCCTGCACAGGGCCGGCGAGAAGCAGGGTCCCAGCCCAGACTCCTTGCTAGAAGGAAGGACTCGCGCCTCACCGCCCACCTCAGGCGGACGCACAACAGCTTCTGCGCCCTCTGGTGGATCTAGGGAGCAACAGCAGAAAGCTCCCCCAATCTACCCCTATGGCGGCGGCTCTGCGGTGCAGAGGCCTGCCAGAGGCGGTCGCTGGAGGAGGTCCACCAATTCTGCTCCGGCCCAAAAATCTCAGCAATGATTCCAAGGAATACGAGGCAGCAAAACAGTCTGTTCTGGTTCAGTTTGCTTGACTTTCCTAGGCCTCTGCCAAAGGACAAGGCACACCCCTCTCTGAGCCTCGTGCCCCCGTGTGCCAAGTGGCTTTGGTCGTTGTCTGACCTTGCGAGCCTATGGACTGTAGCCCACCAGGCCCCTCTGTCCATGGGATTCTCCAGGCAAGAGTACTGAAACGGGTTGCCATGTCTTCCTCCAGAGGATCTTCCCCACCGAGGGATCGAACCCGTGTCTCTTAGGTCTACTGCAATGGCAGGCAGGTTCTTTACCACCAGCGCCCCCTGGGAAGCCCCTCTGAGCCTCAGTTTCCTCCTTTGTGATATGAGAGTAACAGAAGCAGCCCTGTCTCCAGCACAGTGCTGGGAGTCACCACGAGGGCCCTCCCTTCCCCTTGGAACCTCCAAGTCTGGTGGATTAGCTCTGAGATTACTTTAAGCTCTGAGTCCATTCTAAGATTCTCCCTTCAGAGGCTTTGTCCTTAGCAGGCAAACATAAATTGGCAAGACTATCAGGCTCTTAACTTAGTCATTGCCACCAGGTAGAAGATGGAATTGACCTAGGCTAACTAGGGTCATGGTGGTTCACATGATCTGGACACCCAACTAAGCTTTCTCTAGACCAGTGCTGTCCAATAGAACTTTCTGTGGTGGTGGAAAGATTATATATCTGCATCATCCAATACAGTAACCACTAACCACATGTAGCTATTGAGTGCTTGAAATTGTGGCTAGTGGGACTCAGGAACTGCATTTAAAATTTTTATTTTATTAATTTAGATTTAAATGGCCATATGTGGCTAGTGGCAAACCCTGTGGGTTAGCACAGGTCCAGAAGTACAACACCTTTCTCCCTACAATGGAGCCCAGACAGAGCTAATACACACACACACACGCACACACACACGCACACACACACACACACACACACACACACACACACACAGAGGACCCTGAGTTCCCTGACCGGGCCTGGGGGTAGAGATGAATCCACTGCTTGCAATCTCTAGCTGGACAGGTAAGGTGGAGACAAATGCAGGCAGCAACAAATCCACCCCCATGGTCCTTGTCCTAGGTTAGGACTTATCATCTCTCACTTGAACACCTGCAACAACCTCCCTCATCACCCACCTATTTCAACTCTCCAGTAGCCCATGCAAGGATGAAGTGTGTTCCTTTTTTCATGATGATGCCAAGTGATTGACAGCAGCTACCTGGGTACTTCCTTTGCAGACAGTATCATGATCGATTGGTGATGTCTGCCTTGGGTGCAGACACAGAGATGAATGGTACACCCTCCCTGCTAAGGAATAAAACCCAAACTTCCTGCCTTGCCCAAATAAGACCCTCAGCCATCAAGCCCTTACTTACCTTTCCAGCATCATCTTGTATCATCCTACACATGCTCTGGATCCCAGATACCAGTGCCTGCTCTTTCCAGAACATACCATGAATCTCTCACCTCTTCACACCTTTGTGCTTTTGAGCATACTGTTCCCTCAACTTGTAAGATTTTCCTACTTTCCTATTCCTTCCCCACCAGTCCAGTTCTAGTCTGTCATCAGGTATTGCTCAAAGTCTGCCTCCTCAGTGAAGCCTTCCCTGACCAGCCCTGAGCTAAGCTGACCAAGGTACTTCTTCCTCCACTGGCTCCCAGAACAGTCTGTGCAAGTTTTAATAACAGCACCATCAAATCCTATTATTATTCATTCTCACATGTGTCCTCCCCCAAATTATTTCTCATGCTGACACCTCTCTCATAGTAGCTAGCTTGTATGGGACTGACTCAGAGCCAGGCACTGTGCAGGGCCCTTAACATAAATGATTCTCATTAAAAAGTCACAAAGTTTTTTAAAAATTCATAAAATGAACATTAGGGATTTTTTGTTCTGGGAACCCAGCATCTCTCCCCTTTCCCACCAGCCTCCCAAGTTCCTCTCTCCCCACTACCATGTACAGTCTTGGAAGAATTTGAGCCAAGGTGCCTCCCCCAGCCCCAAGCTGGGCTAACTGAGTTGTGACTAGAGTGATGTATGGACGGGAAAAGCCACAGCAGTTTTGCTGTGGCTACAGCAGAACCATTCCAGAAGCCTCAGTGCCAGATGAGGTGCAGGCATTTCCAGCTGCCTGGCCCCCTGTTCTGAATCCCAGACCGTAGGATCTTCTGGCAGTGCCTGGGAGTTGCCCCTCACAGCCCATCTGCAAGAGCCCTAAATTGACCAGATGTGGCTCACACCCAAATGACCCCACCGCCCTGGCCATATCACCACAAGAACCTGTTTCTGGAAGATCTCCCTTTCTGCAGGCTTAGAGAAAAGAGCAGTGAGAGTGTGAAGAACCCATAAATTGCTAAAAAAAAAAAAAAAAAAAAAAAAGCTTCATGGGCTGTTTAAGGTGAATAACAAGATCTACCCTCTGTACTTAGGTGAATTTTTTTTTTTCACTCAGTCTACATAGCATTTCGAGTTGATGCTAAGAAAATTAGGTTAAGTGATTCTTTTAGAGAAACACACACACACTGACCGTGTATGGGGTGTCATATCCCTATTTTGGATCCAGACCAAAAATCAGATTTTCTGCTGTGCTTCCAATGCTGGAACCAAGGGCTATGATCACTCAGAACAGGAACCAGTGATGAGACTCAGAATCCAGAGGACAAATGATGAAAATTCCCTGACTAAAACCCCTGCCTCTTGTCCACCATGGAACCGTCCCAGATTGAATATAAAGAGATAGATGTGGTCTGTCTTCTTGGGAAAGTGGGGCCACTTAGCTGAGGGCATTTT